ACTAAAACAGGTCTGTAAGTCAATATTTTTCATCTGACATCTCATTTGGAAACGCGACAGAACGGTGTAAATCTGATGCTCTTCCCAAAAATAAAAATTTATTAGGCGGCAACACTTTTCAAAAAAATAAGACGTTCTTTCTTGCAGACCTTTAGATAAAGCCCGTTTACATGGCACCTTTTTTTAAATTACGTGAACGGTGTGAGTCTTATGATTTTAGAAGTAGGTGGTAACCCTATTAAAAAAAGTGAGACCTTCTAGCACATCTACAGGCCAAGCCCTTATATTTGTCACCTCTTCTATTTTAGTACAACGAACGGTGTAAGTCTTATGATTTTAGAAGCAGGTGGTAACCCTATTCAAAAAGCTGAGACCTTCTTGCACATCTACAGGCCCAGCCCTTCTATTTGTCACCTCTTCTATTTTAATACAACGAACGGTGTAAGTCTTATGATTTTGGAAGCAGGTGGTAACCCTATTCAAAAAACTGAGACCTTCTTGCACATCTACAAGCCCAGCCCTTCTATTTGTCACATCTTCTATTTTAATACAACGAACGGTGTAAGTCTTATGATTTTAGAAGCAGGTGGTAACCCTATAAAAAAAACTGAGACCTTCTTGCACATCTACAGGCCCAGCCCTTCTATTTGTCACCTCTTCTATTTCAATACAATGGACGGTGTAAGTCTTCTATTTTAGAAGCAGGTGGCAACCCTATTCAAAAAACTGAGACCCTCTTGCACATCTACAGGCCTAGCCCTTTCATTTGGCACCTCTTCTGTTTTAATACAACAAAGGGTGTAAGTTTTATGATTTTAGAAGCAGGTGGCAGCCTCATTAAAAAAACTGAGACCTTCTTGCACATCTGCAGGCCTAGCCCTTTCATTTGGCACCTCTTCTCTTTTAACACAACGAACGATGCAGAATTTATAATTTAAAAAAAGGTGGCAACCCTATGGCTTGTGGTACATACATCTAGAGGCTATGCCCTTTAATTTGGCACCTCAGTTTTGAAAATCGAATAATCGGTGCAGATCTGATGCCGTTAACAAAAACTCCCTCCATGTATTGTATGTATACATATGTATATAGATTTGAACTAACCCTGGTATTTGGGTATAGGGGTTATTAAAATCCATGTAGGAGCTTGAAAACTATGACATTCCTATATACACAGCTCTGGAATACTTGATTTTTAACTTTGACTTTTATTTTTGCCTGAAAAAATAAAAGTCAACAACTACCGGGTATTTTCTGCTCAAAAAAATTAAACTCAAATTTTAACTTTTATTATTGCCAACCAACAACCAAAAAGAAGTTTTATTATTGCCTTAAAAAAATAAAAATAAAATAACCGGTATTATTTGCTCAAAATAATAAAAGTCAAAAAATAACTTAAATTTTTTGACTTTTATTATAAAATGCATAACCCGTGCGGTCTCTGTTCATGAATAATTTTTTGCATGAATTATTTATGAAAATATTGTTCATTCTACAATATAAACCATACAAATTTCACACTTTATATAAAGTTCAAAAAGATTCAAAAAATATGCCTCAAAATTTTGAAATTTTTATTTATAATTTCTAGGAAATTTTCAAGTACGCAATTTTGTAGCCCATTCAATTCTTGTAAAACAAAGTGCAAGTCTCAAGTTGTGGAGGACGTTGAGCATTTTCTTGAATATAAAAATAGGTCTTGATATTGTGAATTTTATATAAAGTGTGAAGCTTTGATTTATATGGTTTAAATTATAGAATGAACTATATTTTCATAAATAATTAATGCAAAAAATTGTTCATGAAAATAATTGTGAATAGGTATTACATTAGCATAAGGTGTACACTTTATTTTGACGCTGACAGTATATAAATATAGGGTTCGTTATTTAGCGTTTCCGAAAAATAAATTTAAATAAATGAAAAATTATAAGATTAAAGTTATGGTGATTTCGTTTCTCCCAAAAAATGTTGCCCTCCCGCGGTGCAAAATGTGTTTGATGTTACACTCAACTCTGTAAAAGGGAATGTTTTTGCCTTCTGGTCCTTGTCTAGCTCACGCATTTCATAATATTGTCGTTTTAAACAACTATCTGATTTTCAGGGCAACCATCCCCCCTGACAAAGCTTCAAAGGGCAGATAATGTGCCTTTTTTTCCCCTACAAGAGTGTGACATTTTGAGAAACAAACACAAAATTTGCTCACACTTTGCCTTTAATTTAGAATCGAACACGAAAAGGGAAAGGGGCAATCCAAAGGCAACATTTTTTGGTATAAACGAAATCAGCATTAAATTTGTCTCGCTTGCGTAAGTCGAACCATTTTTTTTTATACACAAACCCGCTTTAGACTTCAGATAAATAAAATGGCGCATTTGAGGTCTTAAGGAGAGGAAAAAATATC